CTTTTTTCACACTTTCTCATGATATGGGTAATTACCCTTTCATTTCTTTTGTCCATTGTCCATCTTTCACCATTAAGCAGATCCGCAATTATGGAGGAATAACCTTAATTTTGAACCCCCAATTTATGTTGCAAACATCTCAAATACAACACAGTTGATCAGGAACATGAGAAACCTGGTAAACAACAGAACGGTTGAGAGGATTACAGCACCAGGGGGTGACAATTAAATAGTTAGCTGAGAGAAATAGAAGATTCATCTGCGGTCTGCCTAATGGATTGCAGTCAACTCTTGGCATGTTATCTAAAAAATATGTATTGTATGGCTCTTTGAAGGCATTGATTCATTTTGACTGTAAGTCTCTAGTATGACATAAATCTTTCTGTAAGAGTGACAATCCTCAAGACCATATATAAATATAATATGTTAGACAACAATATTTTGCTGTCAGTGCCAGTGAGTTAGAGTTTGACCTGTAACTTTCACGAGCCTTAGACAAATGAATGGGTTTGGCTTGTTTATTAACAAATTGCTAATGCATGCTTGGCAAAATTTGCACATGGAAATGACTTTAGCTTGATGGTAAAATATGTAAAAGTGATCTTATCAGATAAATTTCCTTCAACGTGGTAAATTTTGATAGTGTACCAAATTGTGAAAGCAATATTGTGCCACCTTTCAATTAAAACACTTCTATTTAATACAAAGGGTTATAATTGTTGGTAGACAAGCTTCAACTCATAACATGTGGAACCCAACTCTGTGGAGGTCAGCTTGTTTTCTCACAACTCTTGAAAGGGAACTTGACATCAGCTTGTTTACTTGATTAATGAGAGTGAAAATAGCCCTTAGCAAATTGATCTTGGTCATTCACTCTAAAATGATTAGGCTAGATTCTGCGATGATGCTTGTGACAACCTATATAATTTTTCTATGTTATTTGATGAAAAGAAATTATCTGATTTATTAAATGCTTTCTCTTTGCCTGCCATTTTGTCCGTGTCATCAAACAATTTGAACTACTTCGGTCCTGGGGCTATAGTTGTTTTCTTCTTACTCATTTAGCTGGGTGATGAGATTAATCTCACTATTCTTCCTCAAGAGTCAAGAGATCCGTATTATCAGGCATAAGCACATATGTTGTATCAGGATCTTTGTCAGTCCGTAACATCATATTGGGACAATCTGGTAGCATTTCTTACGAAAGCTGAGTTAAGTTCTTCACTCCTCTGTGTAAATGCTTCTAGTAGCATTTCCGTTTGCAGATCTATATGATTCAAAGCAATGTCACTTAGATGCACCAGGGTTCCTTTTTTCCTTGTTGAAACATGAATAACCCTTTTGCTCAAGGAGTTGAACTCTTTCTTAATCTTAAAGTCATCTTGGTCGTCCTTGTGTTAATGTCAAATTATGTTGTGCCCTGGATCTGAAGTCATAAACTGGTTGGATATAATATATAATAATGTGTCTTCTGTATTTTCCATCTCTAGACCACATGCTTCTCTTTACATTTCTACATTAGGCAGCATTGTTTAAACTTTACATGTATCTATAGTACTATGTACAAATCAAAGCCGGGATGTTTGAAAGGCCATGAGTCACCATGTGGGATTGTAATTCATATACTTCTATTTTCTCTGAAGTTTTGGTATATTGTGATACCATGATTATACAATGAGCTATATAAATATTCAGATGGTCATCACATTCATATATGATAGAAGATGAACACAATTTCTCGATAAAGATGACACTGATTTCACATTCTCATACAAGAAAAGTATATAAGAAGAAGAGTAGTCTGTGATTTCTTTTTGAAAAAGATTTAACTTTCTTTGAATTTGAAGTAATAAGACCTAATTTGGTCATTAAATCTCAATCAAAGAGTGAGGGACCCTTATTATAATATTAAATTACTTTAAATTTTTTATCGATTGTCATAACTTATCTAATCTCTTATGACATGAATTGTGATACCATCAATAAAGTAAAAAAGATAAATCCAAAATAAGTTGTATCAAACCTCTTTCAGTAAAAATAATCATATTATTTGTTACTTCTTACCATGCCACGATACTCAAAAAGTATGGGCTGATGGCATGGAGGTCCTTTGGTACACTGGCTGAAAGCCATCACTTGCTTTCTTGATTAGATTTTTTTTAATCACCTCTTGTTGGCTTTAAGCGTTGTTAGTGGAATAGAAAGTTTAGCTCATTCTTTTCTCTCTATACAACATTTGTTTTTGTAGGTAAAGGCACTTTATGTGAAGAATATACCGGAGAACACTCCAATAGAACAGCTAAAGGAACTATTTCAGCGCCATGGGGAAGTGACGAAAGTTGTCATGCCACCTGCAAAAGCAGGTGGTAAACGAGACTTTGGGTTTGTCCATTTTGCAGAAAGAGCAAGTGCGTTAAAGGCAGTCAAAGAAACCGAAAAGTATGAAATAGATGGTATGCTTTCTCTATTCTCTTCACTTTCTCTTTATTCTTTTTCTGTCTTAGAACTCTGTTTAGGTACATAGTTAGCACACAATGATTTAGTGCATGTTTTCAAAATGAGATATCAAACTTGCCATGTTTTACACTTTCACCGCAGACGAAGGATCGGGTGAGAATAGGAATTAAGGAGAGAAGCTTAAGAAGGGATCTGGACCCTTGATCACTTTTAATTTCACCCCCACCCATGAATTGCGCGTGATACAGGAATTGATCCGGTGCATCTTTTTAGTGTTGGTCTTCGATTAGAATTGATTCAAGGGTGGAGATCCCTTCTCACCATAACTTTCATTCTCACCGGAACCCAACCCTTCATCCCCCATTTTTCATTGATAGAAATGACGTAAACTTCCCAACATGCCTTGGTTTTTTTGTTTCATTAATAACAATGACACGGATTTCCCAACATGTCACTAGATAGGCGAGCTCATAACATGTTTCTCTTACACTAACTTAGCTAGTTGAAAACTTGATGACAAACAAAGTACATCTGATTTGTTTTTATGAATATTGTTGTAATTTGTATATAGTTGCTGGATTTTAATTAGTCATATGATTGCAGACATGTTTTATTATTTCTTAGGATTCCATTATATATAAGATTCGATTCCCATCTTGAAATAACTTGCTGATGCTTCGCTAGCGATTGGATAGGACAAGCAAAATAACTCTTTCAAAACACGGCAAGTTTGATACCTCGTTTTTGAGCTATCGCATGTGAGACTATATTTGGTGATTTAGTGTATTACTCCCTCCCCCCCAAAATAACTTCACATTTCTATTTTAGTTTGTCCTAAAACAACTGTCCGCTTTCTGAAGTAAGTGTCTGCTTTCCATTTCTACCCTTAATTATGAGAAATAAATTCATTACTCCCTATATTATTAAGGGTAAAATTGGCATTTAGTTAATTAAAAAAGTGTAAGAATTACATATTTGCTTTTTCTTTGTGGGCATTTATTTTGGGAAAGAGGGAGTATAAGACAGTTTTATTGGTTCAATTGCATTGCTATGATTGTGGATGAGTTGTTCATTGGACTTGGTTTCTATCTTTAACAGCTTGACCATGGTCCATTGCTATGATTTGCAGGTCAGGTTCTGGAAGTGGTACTCGCAAAGCCTCAGAGCGACAGAAAACCTGATGGGATTAATTCTCACTATTCTGGGCCTCATCCGAACTACATTCCTCATCCCGTCTATGGTGGCTTCTCAGCTAGCCCATATGGAGGCACTAGATATGGCGTTAACCCTTCGTTTCAGCAGGTATTCTAGTAATGTACCTTGTTTGCTGCTTCTTGTTTTGATTCAAAGTTTTTTTTTTTATCTTAAAAGAAGTGTCTATTATGGAACAGCCAATGATATATGGAAGGGGACCTGTGCCAGGAGGTATGCAGATGGTTCCAATGGTTCTGCCTGATGGTCAAATAGGATATGTTCTGTAAGTTACTCTCCCTCTTTGAATTGGTTGTCAATAAAGGGCTTTATGGTCACTTTTTAACCGCTTTTTTATAATTTATCCAAAATGAAAAAAGCAGAAGTTAAATTTTTTTAAAAAAGCATTACATTTCATCTCCAACATCTTCTCCGTTGTAGAGATTTCAACATAAATTATATTTATTAAAATATTAAGTACACTCAATATCTCACTAAATGTATAAAATGAAAATATCCAACTTCATTGGTGGGAACAATAAAAAAACTATTTCTCTCTCTATTCAAACATTTAATTTTGGAGAATTCTCTAAATTTGGAGATTTTTGTCCTCTTTCTTCTATTTTCTTCATTTTGCAGAATCTATGGGAACAAAAAATAGGTTAAAAACTCCAAAATCTCCGTTTTGGAGATGCTCTTAAATCAACCTTCGGTGGAATATACCGAGCTCGTTTTGTTTGGTTTGGTTTGGTTTGGTTTAATGGAAAAAGAGATTTAAAGTGTGGAATTTGTGCAGGCAACAGCCAGGAGCACAGATGTCATCTGTGAGGCCGCCTCGGAGGAATGAGCGAAGCAGCAGCAATGGCTCAGGGGGAGCACGAGGAGGTCGGGGAGGTGGTGGTGATGATTCCAGTCGTGGACGTTACCGGCCATACTAAGGGACAAGTGGTGGTGGGACTGTGTGAACTTGTTGTACATGGATATAACCAGATAGATTTGCCATGAGGGACAAGACACCCCCACCCCACCCCATCCCCATCCTCATCCTTTCCTCTTTCTGCCTTGTGCTGAAAGGCAGAAAAAGGCAAAAAAAAAAAGTGAAATTAGTAGTTTAGAACAAAGTCGGGAGAGCTCTTCTTTTTCTTTTTCTTTTTCTTTTTCTCTGTCTGTGTTCTGTAGTTGATTGTAGTAGAAAACATGCTTATGAGTTGCCAATCCTGCTTCCAAGTAAACCATTATCTTCATTATATTAGTAGGTTAATTCGAAGATGCACGACAACGCCTTCTCTATCCTTTGGGGTAGAGCAACGATTTGCATATATCTTACCTCTAGACATCTCGTACTTACTGGATTCGGTTCAAGTTGCATTGCTAAACAATTTCAATCTGATAAGTTATTAATGGTTAAAGGAGGTCGATGATACAAAATCATTCAGAGGGTCTTAGAACCATTAAGAGATAGATTTTTTTTCCTTGTCAAACAAGATTCACTTCTTAACAATTCAGAGGTTGCCTCTTAATGGATCTATTAAGAGGTAAACAAATAACCCCTTAATAAATGAGTTGCCACATCATTTAAATTAGAAATCCAAAATATACAATCAATAACTTAATAAAAGTGAACTTGATCACATTTCATTATGTTTCTTACACATAAAATGGGCATGTTTCTTCCTTTCCATGGTACATTACAAAGTTGCATCATGAAAAAGATTGCAACTTCTGTTACCTCTTAACCAATTACCCAAAGATGGTTGAGGGTGTCTTCCAAAATGATGCCAAGATTGTCGATTTGCCCGATGTCTTTACCCTGGTTGATGCTTGTGTTGGACGGTCACAACTCTTACCCTTTTCTTCTTAGACATAATTGAAAACACCCAAATCAGAACTAGGAAACGAAAATGTTACGACAAGATCAGGTTAATAAGCTGTCAAATACGTCTAAGTGTCATAATAAACTGTCGTACAGGACCAAACAGTTGTGTCTTATGTAAAATTGTTACAATAAGTTGATAGGATGTTTTTGGGTGTCCTAATAAGATTTTTAAGACACTTTTGGAATAAAACGCCATTTTAGTCTTTTTATATGACATTATTTGAAAAGGTGTTTTATAAAACCAAGTTTCTTATAAAAAGATGTGTTTATAGGGCATTTCTCAAAAGGGTCTATGACACTTCATTCAAAAGTGTCATAAAAAACTTGTTGACATACTTGAATACGTCCTAACATCATATTATAACACCTTTATATAGGATGCACAATTGTTTAGTCCTGTAAACTTTCAAGTCCTATTAAATCATGCTAGGATATTTAGACACACTTGACGTTGTAAAGCTGATTTTGTTGCAAGGGAAACAAGAACTGGGTTTAAGAATCTTACTTGTTGTCTGTACTTGATTCGGTGTTCCATACAATATCTTTCAATCCGGAGGAGAAGCTCTTGTAGAACTATAATTCAATGGAATACAAAGAAAGATATCAGATTGGGCAAATAGTAGATTATGTCTCAACCCTTCAGAGATTGATCATGAGTTTTTGGTTTAAAACATACATTGTGAAATTCCAGCGTGTCGCCACCGGTTTTCCTGAGCTCCACCATGTGCAGCGACGGCGCCACTTCAAAAACCTTAACCAAATGCAAGTAGGCACACAACACAAAAATGATGACATAGTTTCATGGAAGGAGGTTCATTTAGGAACCTTAAATATTCTAGGAACCCATGAACCACCCTTTTTGTGAGTATTCATGATGAATAACGTGATAGAATATTCATGATGAATGTCGTGACAGATATCATTGATGAATAATATTCATGATGAATAATCACGTTCCTAAAATATTTACAGGTTCCTAAATGAATCTGCCCCTAGTTTCATGAATGTAAAAAATGCGCATAAATTTAGAAATCTTATATGTTCCCTTATCTTTATGGCTTAACTTATGGCATAAAACTCATAAATTTTAAAAATCATTACCTCTGTAGCCACAGCAAGATGGCCCTTCCTTCCAGTCTTGTCACCTTGTAACTTCATCTGTAATTGTTTAGAAAGAACAACCTTGTAAGTTGGAACTGTTTAGTTGTTTTTTCATCAAGTTCTGTATGGATTAAGCTGTCTGTATGGATTAACCTGTCTCTATGAATTAACAAGAATCTAAAATTAATGCTAGCATGTCAAACAGATGAAGGATCGAAGCATAATTATGATGAATATGACCTTATAATTTCGTTTGTGAACATTGAAACCCAAGGGCTTTGCAGCTTCTTCGATTTTAGACATGATCTCATTGGCAGGAGACTTGGAAGCAAAACTTGTTTCTCTCTTTACAAAACCCTGTTGTGTTGAAGTTCAAGCAAACACAATTATCCAGCGATGTAAGCGAATAATATATTTTTACAGTTTAGAATAAAATGGTTAGGAACTTTGACATACCTTTTGCCTCTCAAACATATTTTCTAGACTGAAACCTTGTGATCTAGATATTAGCTCAAATGCATTCATGGATTCAGGTTTCTCTTTCTTTTCTGTAACAAGGTGTTCCTGAAAACAAAAAGACTCGTATTTAGGATATATATACAGGGCGGTTCAGGGAAAACCCCAAAAAAAAATGAAAAACTGAGGAACACCTGGTAACCATTTATCTAGACGCACATGTGCATACAAGTAATTGACGTTGTTTCTTGGTTTTTATGCACATGTGCATACCGGACAAATTGCTTACAAATAACTTGTATGCACATGTGCATACCGTCCTCAGTTTTTCATTTTTTTGCGGTTTTCCCCTGCACTTGACCCTATATATATATAGGAGTGCGTTCATAGCATCATAGACATGATCTTAGTAACAGAAGAGAACCATCAACATAATTGTCTACATCACAAAAATGGGAAGACACATCCTCGCAGTTTTTATCTGTTAAAGTCCCACATCGGCCAGACCTAGACGTGTTCTACTCAATCTATTAAAAGGTTTTTTTTGGAGAGTAATCTAATGGGGTTCCACATATTCTCACATTATCCAAAAGTGGGATTTGAGTTGTTTGAAGTCAACTCAACCGGAGTTTCTTCCACGATAAAAAGCAGAGAGCTAACCTTGGATTCATTGAAGACAGCATCTACATCATCAAGATTCACATCCTCTTCCTGCTCAAAATGTGGAGGTTTATACCCTTTCTTGAACCAATCATTTTCCAAGATCTGAGGAATAGTTATTCTCTGCAATGGAGCAGGCAATTTCTTAATCTCCAAATAGTAAAAGATAAACGAATAATAAACAAAAATAGGAACTGCAACTCACGGTGAGGGGGTTTGGATCAAGTATACGTTCTAACAGTTTCTTTGCGCCGGATGAAAACCATGGTGGGCATCTATAATCAGCCTTCTCAATCTAAATAACAGTTGGGATATTTCTTTTTAGCTAGTTATAGTGCATCCCCAAAATTATTTATAAAGAAAGGGATACAAATATTGAACTTACTTTCCTATACAGTCCCATGAGGTTTTCCTCATCAAATGGCAAGTATCCTGCCATAAGAACGAAAAGGATGACTCCACAAGACCATATATCAGAGGCTGCACCATTATAACCCTTTACAGTGAGCACCTGAAAACAAAAACTCATGAGAAATGTAACAGTTTCTGCCAATCTTTCACCATTTGCATCCATAAAATTTTGAAGTTATTAGAGTACCTCAGGCGCAACATAATTTGGCGTTCCACAGGCTGTATGCAACATCCCATTGTCCTAAAATAACAAGTGATCCCAAATATCATTAACCAACTGAGATTGAAGACCTCTAAACATCAATCACATGTGCATAGCCTTTGTGATTAATCGACATACATAATCTATCCTCACTTAAGTACCATATTCTAACATACCACTTGCTGAGATAATCCAAAGTCCGAAACCTTCAGAACATCATTCGAGTCCAAGAGCAGATTTTCTGGCTGGCAATGAATACAAGGAGTACAAAGTATGAATTCAGGGTGTAGGACAAATCATTTCATCACTTAATGCTCTATGCATCAAGATTTCATATCATAAAAAGACAGTTTATTTTGGTGATTAAGATTTCAAATGATAAAATAGAACTCCTTTGGTTCTACGGTTAGAATTGACTTCCAAAAATCTTTTGTTCAAAAATAAGAATACCTACTTCATGCCAAAGGAAATGTATCCTTAATTTTCACAAAATTTCGGGATTATAGAATGGGGTAATGGCTCCACCTCATAACTTAACACCAAGTAATTCGAAATTTCAATGATAACACTTTTTTAGTAAATTGTGCTTCAAACACAATAATGCTCATTAGAATGTTTTCAATCAAGACATATATATTGATAATGAAAAAGATAAAGAGTCCAAAAAGCTTTCCCGCATTAACATTTAACACCACACTATCCCTGGCTTATATACAATCCCAAATAAAGCTCAACTCAACAAGGTATAATGATAATGGTGATGATCATAACGAATGAAACTAGTATGAATACAACAATGATGATGATAAAAGAAAAAAGACGAACCTTGAGATCTCTGTGATACACGCCTCTACTATGGCAGTAATCTACAGCATTAATGAGTTGCTGAAAGTATCTTCGAGCCTCATCTTCTTGAAGTCTTCCATATTTGGCCTATCATAGAAAATAAGAAGTTGCCCAAAGAAAACAAAGAACAAATACTAACTGATCACCAATTGAAGCATCTACAAGTAGGAGAACAACTCTATTTATAAGATAAAGAGCATCCCACCAACAATTACTTACTATTTTGTCGAAAAGCTCGCCTCCATCAACATACTCAAGAACAATATAGATCTTTGTTTTGCTTGCCATAACCTATTGGAAAGCAAAGGAAATGAATAGATGCACCAGGAGACCGTCTAAAGCAATTGAAACATGTATGCTATGGTACTATCATTCAAAACATTAGCAAATTGGAGTGATGAATGTGATTTCAATCCTTAAACTCAAAAAACCTCAACACATAGTTACCAGTTAAGGCCTGAGTGAATACAATCAATCAAGAACATATGAACAATGCAAACATGCCAATATCACAGTTGATAAAACAATTAGAATGGGATTCAATCAGAAGTTGATTCGTCTGTGATGAGCCCATGAAAGTTAACATTGGATCAAAACTTGATCACATAAAGGCAGAAGGCAATCAATGTTTACATGGTTGAAGATGGGTTATACACAAGTTAAAGTGGGAATTAGATTGCAACTTGCCTCAAAGAGATTTAATACGTTGGGATGCTTGATTAACTTCATCGCTGAGATTTCCCTTTTCATCTAACAGCGAATTAACAAGAAAAATATGAGAAATTACTACAAAATCACACACACAAGCACACTATATATATATATATATACACATATATATGTATGTATGTGATACGAGAGTGAGAGTCGGACTTGCTCGACCATCTTGTGTTTGAGAATACGATCGCGGTCGATTATCTTAATGGCAACAGGATCACCAGTGACAATATTTTTGGCGAACTTGACTTTGGCAAAGCTGCCTTCGCCCAAGGTTTTGCCAAACTCGTAGTTGCCTACACGTGTCCTTCTCTTCCCGACAGCAGCAGCAGCACCACTGCTCATTGTTGTCAATCAAAGCCTTTCTCTTCCAAAACGAATTGGGGTTTTCTTGGAAAACACAGAGAGAAAGAAGAGGACGCAAATGGAGATGAAAATGGTAGTGGTTTTGGATAGAGAGAATTGAAGTGAGAGCCATGGATGGAGATATAAACATTGGGCCCACACGTATCGTACGCGATGACACACAGCCACCGTACCCATAACAAACCAATCCCTCCTCCCACGAACCTTCCTCACTTCCATGTGGTCCTACATACACCTTCAAATAACAAGCTATAAATCATGACAACTTCTTGTCATCTTGCTGACATGTCAATTATGGTTGGGTTGGAGTGAAACTAATATGTTTTTGTGAGATTTATGATATTATTTTTTTATATTTGAAACTTTACAGTAAAGTGTTGTGAAGGTAAAAAAAGTCGAACCTTTAGCAAAAACATTGTAAGGGTTAACTTCATTTCACATGTGAATTATGGTTGCGTTCACGTGAGACCAACCTGTTTTCGTAAGACCTGTTATATCATTTTTTACACTTGAAACTTTACAGTAAAGCACTGTGAAGATAAAAAAAGTTGAAACTTCACAGCCAAAACATTATGAAGGTTACCTTCACAGCATATTGCTGTGAAATTTCAAGTGTAAAAAAATGGTCTTACGGGTCTCACGAAAACAGACTGGTCTCACGTGATCCAAATATGTGAATTATTATAATATATATATATAGGGACCTAATAAAATGAAAACTGTTTTGTTTGTATTAGCCGTGATATCCAATCTCAACCACAAATCAAATGTTAAATTAGGAAATTTGGTAATTTTAACTTAAAATATTAATTAAAGGTATTTTAGATATTTTATAAATATTCTCCCTTATCTCTCCTCTTTTCTCCCTAGGCGAATCTTATTTGATGAACTTTATTCTGATGAACCTTATGTGAACACAAGATACACACTTACACGATATTCACTGTGATACCCAGATATACATAGAAGATGCACACTATGATACCCTTTGTAAAACAATGAAAATAATGAAAATGCACACGATGATACATTTCATAAAATAAAGAAAATACATTGTGATACACGTGGAACATTGTAAATGAACCACAAGGGTGGTGCCTGATTGATTTGAGCTTGACTCCAAAGGTCAAAAGTACCAGGATGTCACAGGTTCAAATCCAATAAAAAATAAAAATCTTCTTGTGGCCACGAAGGTTCAAATGCGGTGACTCCGGGCTATCTGCAAAGCAGATGGTCGCCCTGAGATTAGTCGGCTCGCATAGCGGGTTGGATATCCAGGTTAATAAATAAACATTGTACATGTTATCACTATGATACACTTTGATTTACAAACATCTTTAAAATACGATGTATATTAGGTAATTGATATACTATGTAACTAATCTATACTATATTATAATGCATTTAGCTAAAACTCTTAAAAACTCTTAAACTCTTAAACCCGCTCATCCCTAAACGATTTCATCCCTATCCGATTTCATCCCATAACTGAATTCGTGTAACTAACTGTAGATAAACACAATCCAATACAGGATAAACATCTCATTTTAAATATAAAAAATCTAAAATATAA